TAGATAGATAGATAGATAGATAGATAGATAGATAGATAGATAGATAGATAGATAGATATAGCAAAGTACCAGAACTTCCTCATAAATGATGACTAACAAACTGTGAAGACTCATTTTTTCTCTGTCTCTTTCTTTTTCTGTAGTGGGAGGAAGTGAGTGGCTACGATGAAAACCTCAACACCATCAGGACCTACCAAGTGTGTAATGTCTTCGAGCCAAGTCAAAACAACTGGCTCCTCACCACTTTTATTGACCGCCGTGGAGCGCAACGCATCTATGTGGAGATACGATTCACTGTGCGTGACTGCAGCTCCATTCCAAATGTCCCTGGCTCCTGCAAAGAGACATTCAATCTGTACTACTATGAAACTGATGCTGTCATTGCCACCAAAGGTTCGGCCTTCTGGATGGAGGCCCCTTACCTCAAGGTGGACACCATTGCTGCAGACGAAAGCTTCTCACAGGTAGACTTTGGTGGACGCCTGATGAAGGTCAACACAGAAGTGCGTAGCTTTGGCCCGCTTTCCAAAAATGGCTTCTACCTGGCCTTTCAGGACTACGGTGCCTGCATGTCTCTGTTGTCAGTCAGAGTGTTCTATAAGAAGTGCCCAAGTGTGGTCCAAAACTTTGCAAACTTTCCGGAGACCATGACTGGGGCAGAAAGCACATCCCTAGTCATTGCCAGAGGGATTTGCATCCTAAACTCAGAAGAAGTAGATGTCCCTATAAAGCTCTACTGTAATGGAGACGGAGAATGGATGGTCCCTATTGGTAGCTGCACTTGCAAGGCTGGATTTGAACCTGACAATGGCAATGTCTGTCGTGGTAAGAAATACATAGATTAATTTATTACAAGCATTATATAATATGAGTCTTTCTCCTCTGCTTTTTTGTTACTTATTGATTGCTTTTCACTATGCTCACATTTACTAAATAATTCTAATTTGTTGGAGTGATTTAATTTACCTTATACCAAAATGTGCCATTTTAGACTTGCATATGAATGGGCAATAGGATAGTTTAGATCACAAAATTTCCACAGTTGAAAATTAATTTCTTGTACTACATGTGTCTTTCAAAACATGATGTGCCGTACAACTTTCTCATATCTACCTCCAAAAAAGCACATTGGTACAGATTGCTGTAGCAAATGCCAGGCACAACCTACTTCACAAGTGGCGAGATGTTTGACTCTGGATCAGCAGGGTTTGATGTGTGAAGGCAAAGTTCTAAAGAACAGATGATAACCGGAATCTAAAGAGAAGATTAATGTGCCACTTCCTCTCTCTTTTCATGTATGTCCTCTAATGCACCCCCAGACTTTGCACCCTGTTATTTTGATGCACTCCCAAGCGCACACATACAAACAGAAAATTTGCTCAAGGTGTCTAGCGATAATATGAGTGACTCGGGGCTCTCAGTATGGGGCTGTATTGGTTGGTCTGCCTTAGGAGCTTAGTTGGAGAGTATGTGGAGCTCAGATAAGATTGATTGACGCCCATCTGCTTTGATCAATAAACAGACATAAGCATGCCACATATCTACAAAGCACACTGTGTGTATAACTCTGTCCATGGTATCCTTCGTGCATTACTTGGTTTCCTAAGGAAAGCCTCCCTTCAAACTCACACAGAAACAAACGTTCATAGCATTTTACTAAAACTGAGTGACTTATTTTATTTGTACTATTTCTAATTTGTTTATGGACACAGTTTTTCTGTTTACTATTATTTAATGTACATAAACTGTGGTAGTTATCAGTGTATATCAATATTATAAATCTATGAAACATTGTTTAAGTGTACTTTATTCTAATACATACACATAATTTTACTTGTGAAAGGTCTCTAAAAAGAAATAACAACAAGAAAGCTTGATGATCTAGCTGTTTTTCACATGCATTTTAATCTCCAGAGACTTGTATGGTATCTAGTCCTCTCTCATTTCCACTGAGATTTACCTCCAATAATAGCAATCTTGCCATTTTTTTCTCCATTGCAGTCCTTTTTATGGACCTGTAAACCATTATTAAAACAGAAAAATCCAACCTAAAAATATGTGTAAAGGCTGGGTACTACAGAGAGCAATCAGTTGTTGGCTGGTGCAATAAAAAGGCTTACCAATAGCTGTTAATTTTCACATTTTCAATTATTGCTTACGAAGGATGAAAAAGAAAAACAAGAACAGCAAAATATCTAAAAGAAAAAAGAGAGAGAGCCTGCAGCTTTGTGATGAATTAATTTTCCTTATTAAGGGCAACATGAAGAATAGGTATTGCTTCAAATAAAAGAAAGCCAGTGTAGTTCTTAACAGCTCAGTGGTTAAATAAATAAATACATAAATAAACTGGGAAGAAATAGCTTCTGTATTGACCAGGAATAAATAACTTTGAGTCTGTTACTGTCATGGTTTGTCATTTTATGCCTTGGTTTTTCCTAGTGTTTCTATGTTCCCCTGTGTGTGTGTGCTCAGCTGCCCCACATCATTCTGCTGATTACCCTTGTGTTTCTCCCCAGGTGTTTTCTGTTCCCTCATTAGTTCTCTGTGTATTTAAGCTCTGTCTTGTCTCTGTGTCAGTGTCCRATCATTGTGCTGCAAAGCTTGTCTCGTTCTCCATGTTCCATGTTCCATGTTCCATGTTCCATGTTCCATGTTCCATGTTCCATGTTCCATGTTCCATGTTCCA